TGTGTTCCCAATAAGAGGCGAGGAATACAGACAGTGCAAGTTAGTAGAATGAAGTTTTTATTTGGTTTTTCGAGACAGGGTTTCTCTGTGGCTTTGGAGGCTGTCCTGGGACTAGCTCTTGTAAACTAGGCTGGTCTCAAACTCACAGAGATTCACCTGCCTCTGCCTCCCGAGTGCTGGGATTAAAGGCATGCACCACCACCACCCTGCCAATGAAATTATTTTTTATGGCAGGCCAGAACATTTTCTTAACTCAGTAGCTGTCTGTGGTAACTTTGAAAACAGGCCACATGCCTGAGCTGTTGGGAATGCAGTTGCAAAGAGCCAGGATGTTTGTGTGTTGTCCCTGGGGGATGATACTGTCTGCATGTCACACATATCCCTGTGCCTCAAGGTATGCAGTCTGCTTTCTTCATTCAATAGCACCATCTCCCTGCTTGGTACTGGTCCATACTGAAGACAGGTTTCTCTGGTCTCCGAAAAAACAGAGCCTGCCTGACAAGAGCTTAACTAGTTATTGAATTGAGATGAGGAGAAAGTGTGGAAGAAAGGGCCTTGGTGTTGACTGCCAGGCTTGGAATCTTCTCTTTGTCACTGGTTGTGTCTGCTGAGCATATCACTCAGAGTCTGAACATGTCTCTTCACTTGTAATGTGGAGACCGTGCTAAAAGTGATGTTAAGTGGCTGAACTGATCCACGTGAAGCTCTCACTACAGAGTCTCCCACAGAGCTAGCAGGTAAGAACCGTGGGCTGGCTGGGCGGTGGTGGCGCACGCCTTTAATCCCAGCACCAGGGAGGCAGAGGCAGGTGGATCTCTGTGAGTTTGAGACCAGCCTGGTCTACAAGAGCTAGCTCCAGGACAGCCTCCAAAACCACAGAGAAACCCTGTCTCCAAAAAACAAAACAAAACAGAACAGAACAAAACAAAAGAACCGTCTGACCACAATGGTTGGATCAAGGAGATCCACAATGGTTGGATCAAATGGTTGGTGCCACATTTGATCCAAAGGTAGAATTTAAACATGCTACTTTTATTCCTTTGTTAGGAATAATTTGGTTTTTTCTTTTTCTTTTTACTGTTGCTCTTTTGAGACAGGGTTTCACTATGTAGCCTTGGCTGGCTTAGGGCTGGCTATGAGACTACTAAATTGTTCTTAAACTGATATATCTCTGTCCTAGAGTGCTAGGATTAAAAAGATCCCCAGTTTTGTTTCATTTTGAAGATTTATTTTATTTTTTAAAGGTTTTATTTATTTATTATGTGCACATCAGAAGAGGGCACCAGATCTCATAACAGATGGTTGTGAGCCACCATGTGGTTGCTGGGAATTGAACTCAGGACCTTTGGAAGAGCAGCCAGTGCTCTTAACCTCTGAGCCATCTCTCCAGCCCCTTGAAGATTTATTTTTATTTTGTGTAAGTGTGTCTATCTTTCTGTGTCTACTCCAGAGATGTGTGTCTGTCTCTCTGTGTGTGTGTGTATGCCACAGATGTGTGTCTGTCTTTCTGGGTCTACTCCAGAGATGTGTGTCTGTCTGTGTGTGTATGCCACAGATGTAGTGGCCAGGTATCAGGTTCCCCAGAGCTGGAGTCCAGGCAGCTGTGAACCACCTGACGTGGGTACTGGGAAGCAAAATCAGAGTCCCTTTAAGAACAGTAAGAGCTCTTAATTGTTGATCCATCTTATCAGCTCCTTGTTTTGTTTTACAGACAATATCAATGTAGTATAGGCTGGCCTGAAACTTCAGGCTGACTTTAAATTTATGGCCTGCCACTTCCTGTCTCTGCCACTCAAGTACTGGGATTACTGGCATGAGTTACCACACCTGGCCAGAGTGGTGTCTCCTTGAAGTGTTTAAGGAACTCCTTTCTATTCTGAAGGGTGGGAACCCCCAAGGAGATCTCCTGGCTAGGGACTGCTTTTATTTTAGGGACCACTGCCACCGTGTGGCCACTAGTGGGCAAAGATGAGCATTTAACATTAACTGAAAACAACCGTGAAATTATTGTCATTGCTATTTCATAACTGTAATTTTGCTACTGTGATGAATGACATAAATATTTGTTTTCTGATGGTCTCAGAGACACTTGTGAAAAGGTCATTCTACCCCTCCCCCCCTGTGGGTCGAGCCCCACATGTTGAGAACTGCTGAGTTAAGGACTTTCTGTGGTACACAAAGGCCCCACCACAGATATGTCCCCAATTCTCTGTTCACTTTTGGAGACAGGATCTCACTAAGGTGTCCAGGCTCATCTGTGACCTTCCTGTCTTAGTCTCCCAGGTAGCTGGGGACACAGGTCTGCACACCAAGTCAGGTTTGCACATTTGGTTTTAATTGCCCAGGGATGCTTTTCAGTCCTGTGACTCTCAAGTACAAATATTATTACTTCCCCAGGCTGTTAATTGTCAGTGATCTGTTTGCCTGACTATTGCATAATGGCTGGGCTCTCTTCCTAAGATGCCAAATTCACAGTAATGCCAAAACACAAAATATCATCTGGTTAAAGACAAGACATTAAAGAAGTCAAACCAGAGTTTGGTCTAAGTGCTCAACATAAAAACCAAAGTTGCTGGGAGTGTGTATATATAAATATATGTGTGTGTGTGTGTGTGTGACTAAAAAAGTAGAAAAAAAGTTTGAAAATTACATGTACATGTGTGTATCTGTATATGGGTGTGTGCACATGTGCGCAGGTGCTCAAACAGGCCAAAAGAGAATGTCCCCTGTAGCTGGAGTTACTGGCAGTTGTGAGCTATCTGACTTTGATCTTGGGTCCTCTGTAAGAGCAGTATACATTCCTAACTACTGAGCCACCTGTCTGGCCCACTGTTGAATTTTTACATTAAGCCAGCTTATCATTGCTTCTACTCCACACAATAAAAAGATCTTCTGATGTGTGAGCAAATTCCTTTACCTTGACCTGAAATTAAAACCTGAATATAGATAGATACAGTTATCTTCCCTCCTGTTACCTTGCCCACACAGGGTTTCCATACGATTTGCATACCAGGCTTGCCTCTGCTCCTGAGGACTGGGATGAAAGGCATGCTCCACCATGCCCTGTTTTTTCTTCTTAATCTGCTGTCTTTCATTAGAGGTACTTCATTTGAGAATCTAGGAGGCATCTCAAAGCTGCTTCACCAAGACACACAGATGGTGAACTGACATGCTAGGACTATGCACAAAAGTTCCCAGCACTTATTCAAACCTCCCCACTGTGTCTGCAGCTCCACAACATAAGTCAGCACCTAGGTTTTCTGTTCTAAAAAAACTGTATTCCGGCCCAGCGGTGGTGGAGCATGCCTTTAATCCCAGCACTGAGGAGGCAGAGGCAGGTGGATCTCTGTGAGTTCGAGGCCAGTCTGGTCTACAGAGTTAGAGTTCCAGGGCAGCTAGGGTTGTTACACAGAGAGACCCTGTTTCAAAAACAAAACCAAAACAAAGCAAAAAAAAAAAAAAAAAAAAAAAAAACCACCAAACAAAAAAAAAAAAAAAAAAAAAACAAACCACCAAACAAACAAACAAAAACTATGTATATTTTATTTTGAGATATAATCTCATATAGCTCAGACTGATCTCAAACTTACTATGTAGCCAAGGCTAGCCTTGAACTCCTATCCCACCTGCCTCCATGTAGATATATGCTGTGACCCTTGGTTTATAGGGGTCTTGTTATTTTGGTGCACTTTTTTGAAATAGGTTGAATATAATCTTATCTGGCTTGGAATTTGTTGACCAGGTTGCCTCAAACTTGTGGCAACCCTCTAGTCTGTGTCTCCTGAGTGCTGAGATTATGGATTTGTGACAGCAGGCCCAGCTTCATAGGGGTTCTAAATTTTTTCACAGAGTACTGATAATTAAACCAGGGACTTACATGTATGAAGCAAGGACTGCACCTCTCAGCCACATTCCCAACCAAATAAGTCAGAACTCTCAACACATAAAGTTAGGAAGATGCTGTCCATAACAGGGTACCCACAAAAGACCCCCAAGATGTTCAGAGTAAGAGGAACTGGCTGGAAATTTTGGGAACAAAAAGACTGAAGAGTCCCAAGTCGGGAGAGAAGGAAGAGAGACAGCTGGAAAGCACAAGGAAGAGGCAGGGCTGGGGACACACAGGAAACTGGGGGATAGGGTTCAGGAGCGCAGGGGCTGGATGAGGAGATGGGAAGGGAGGAGGGACAGGCAGATGTGGAAGAGGGAGGGGGTTTCCTGGAGAACTCCCACTCCTCCTGCCCTTCTTCAAGTCTGCAAGTCTTTCATGAAGGACAGCCAAAAACAGATGCATGCTGGGAGTGTGATGAGGGTTAGCACTAAGGGCAGAGGAATCTGATCAGTTGGTAAAGTGCTCGTTGAGCAAATGTGAGGACTTCGGTTCAATTCCCAGACTCTACACCAAAAAAAAAAAACAAAAAAAGAAAAAAAAAAAAAAAAAAAAAAAAAAAAAAAAAAAAAAAAAAAAAAAAAAAAAAAAAAAAAAAAAAAAAAAAAAAAAAAACCTGACATGGTGGCGCACACACATGATCCCAGTAATAGGGATGTGTAAGCAAGTAGATCCCCAGGGCAGCCTAGACTACCTAACCAGTTCCAGCCAGTGAGAGACCCTGCCTCATAAAACAGCTCTTGAGGTTCAACAACTAAAGTTGACCTCCGAACCTTCACATACACAGGTGTGTACACACACATGAATGAGCTACAAGGCTATACCTGAGGCATGGCTTGAAGGCTCATTCTGTTGCTTTGACTCTGAAGTCCAAATACTTCATCAAGGGACACCTACATCGTTTCTGTGGGTCCTGACACAGGTTGTGTGTCACAGGGATGTTTTATCAGCTGCCATTGCTTCTTTGGTCCCATGCACAGAGAAGCAGAGGCAGAGACCAAGGGCACTGGCATGTCCCTCAAAGCTTGGCCATCTAATCTCCCAACCTCCTTCCAGAGTGAAACAAATAGGCATCCTTTAAAAACAAAAAGAAAAAGAAAAGAAAAACACCACACACATGTTGAGTTTTAATGAGAAAATAACTGTATAGCTGCATTGAATACCTCACAGTCACTATAAAACCGAAGCAGAATAAAAACACTTAAGTGGTTAACATAACACAGGAAAGCCAGGTACAGAGTATAATTTTTAAAACACAGTATTGCTGCTTCCCCTGCCCCCACCCTTCCTCCAATTTTAAAAAAAAAAAAAAAGGAAAAGCCATTTGGATAAAGAGCAACACAAAATAAAAATTGGCAGCTCACTGAATGATTAAAATTCAGAAAATTAGTTTTGTAACTGAACCTGGATACATTCACCATCTCTAAGACTTACTTAGGCTATTTTTTTTCAATACATAGTTTTAAGTCCATTCTTCAGGTGAAAAAAAATATCTTTAAAGACAACAATCAACACTCTTTTGGTGTTCCTTGTTCTATAGTGTGTGTGTGTGTGTGTGTGTGTGTGTGTGTGTGTGTGTGTGTGTGGTGTACACTGATCTATATACTGTTTCTATGTCATTGCCTAGGGTAGGCAGCATGCATGGGTAAGAAGAAGGGACATGCACCGTGTCCTGCTTCCTTCATTCCTAGATAAGAAAGCCTACACTGTCAGTCATTGGCTCTGGAGGAAAGTGAGTGTATAAACACTGCGGTGTCTCAGGAAGGTTTTTGAAATCTACAAAAGCTAAACATTTCTTATAGCTGAGACTAACAAGCTCGTGTGCTGATGGAGGGTAGAGCCAAGCATCTGAGGCAAAACTAGTGAAGAGCCTCTCACCTCAGGCTTATGGAGCAGGACAGACTCTCTTCCAGGGACCTGCTGGATCATGTTGGGAAAGTGAGTGGGCTCCTAAAGCCTAGCACAGCAATATGACCAAAGCAATGTCTCAAATGTTCCTTGAATAAGGAAAAACAATTAAACAACTCCCCCCAAAATAAAACAAAACAAAAAATCACCTCCCAAGAACACAGAGAAAAGTTGACTCTCCCATGGAACTGTGATTTCCATGTTAATGGAACACACTAGAACTGTCACCAAGGAGAGCTAGGAAACTGATGGCAGTCATCAGAATGCAGGGAAACCAGTAAAACTAGGAAATGGATGAGCCAAAGTGAAAAAAGCTGTGTGACCAGGAATAAGTGGCAGAAACTGGGTGTCTCCTTATCTGCAAATGGCCCAAAGGACCCTGGCTCTGTAATCCCCAAGCCTTCAGAATTTTTTGTTCAATTTACTGCAGCCGAAAGGACCACTTCATCTGCCACTGAAGCAACTCCATGGATTGTGTGGACTCCAGCTGCCAAGTCCATCCTCAAGGTAACCTCCGTGTGGGTCCGAGGTTCCCTTGCAAACAGGACATGAAAGTGAAGGAAATCGTGAGGACTGTTTCCTCTTGTGAAAATGAGGATGTGCGTTTGCACTGCCTCCACAGTCTCCAGCAGATCCCAGAAAAAATGAGGCAGATTTTTTTTCTTGTATGACCCAGTACCATCCTACTCTTTAGCTGCTCTAACTGCCTCTGTGTGGGGCCTTGGGACACTGCAGCTACCCTTCCCCATGTGTCCTTACCCCACGCCCCTGTGCCCCAGGGAGAAACACTCACATCATTGTGTACTCAGGTCAGGCATTTGGAGCCTCCAGCCCCAAATCCTTAGACAAAGATGTGCCCTCCAGTGTGGCCATCTACCTCATGGGACTTCTAACATCTGACATGGATGCCATGTGCCATGACATTTGTTTCTGGGCCAGCCTCCCTTACCATAAAGCAAATCCCTTGCTGCAGCATGATTCTCATTTGTTTTCTGTCCCCAATGTCTAGCATTTTTAAAAAACATTTTGTCTAAAAGAATGAACCATCTAAAGACAGTGTGCACTTCCCTCGTACAATTTGGCTACCATCTTCAGAATTTGGCTTTGAATTGCAGGGTCCCTTGGCAGTTCTTAAAGATCCTTTATAAGTCATTAGAAAATTCCTTTTTACCCTGTACCCACTACTTATCAGCTTTCCCCCAAAGTCAACACTAGTCTAATAAAAAGAGTAAAGATAACATGTGGAAAGGTACATATAAATATTATGGAGTCTCTACTTATTAGAATAACATATTAAATCTTATGACATAATAACATAAAACAAAAATGAATTTTAGCAAGATCTGATTTAATTATTGCTTTTAAGAAATGGTTTTTAAAATAAAGGAAAAATATTGAAGGCTGGTTAGTTCTTCTTTTTCCTTCTTCTCCCCTTCCTCCCTTCCCCTCCTTGCCAGAAATGAAACATTTCTCTCATCCAGAAATTCAGGGCACCTGATTAGTGACCACCCTTATCATATTGCTTTAAATGACAGAAAGAATAAAGCTGGAATCTTCTATAGTGCATGAGGCATGAATACAAAGCACGAGAATAAATAGGATGTGTTCTAAATGTCAAATTATCAATACAAAACTTCAAAAAGCTTCACAATTGTGACTCATGCAAATACCATGTTAGGTCAATTCATTATTAGAAATACTGTGTCAGCCCTGTGCCTTTATATCCCTTTTCATAAAAAAAGAAAATTGTCACTCACTCCTGAAGCTGGCAGACAGCTACGGAGGAAATACTGTCCACCCATGTGTCATGATCAACCTGAAGTTTTAACTAACACGAACACACACATGCACATGCGCGCACACACACAAACACACACACACACACACACACACACACACACACACACACACACACACGCACCCACGCACGCACGCAGAGTCATACCCTTATTCGTGAACACACAATCTTTATACAGGCACACAAAGGCATACACACCATCTTTAGGATTTGTAGCTGATTCCACGTCTGCACTTAAATTTCTACTCTATATTTTTCTCTTTGTCATCCTGAAAAACACTGGTTGTTCAGCAAAAATAATCTCTTCCTTCCTTTCCCACTCCTCCCTCCCACCCCATTTCTCTCTCTACCTCCATGACTTTAATGTTACCTTACTGAGATCCCAACCACCTAAGGCCCATTTTCAAATACAAAATAGTTATAAACACTGTATTTCTGATCATCTACCCTTCTAAGACAGAGTCTGCCCCCTTTTGTTGTCAATTATTGCCATTCTAAAAATACCCCTACCATCTTGAACCAAGCTGTTCAATGTGTACAGATTTTATCCATGTTCCTATTCTCCCATCCCATCATAAAAATAGTCATTGCCCACCAAATATAGTTTTCATATGAAGAAACATAACTGTGAAGGTGTGTTTCCCTAAACTGACCAGTCAACAGGATAAGCAGAGAAGGTCCTAAAGCTAATAACCCATTTGGTTTGGCTCTGTCCCCTACCATTCTCAACCTCCTACTGTAGAGTAGATTGCATCTGCAACATGAAGAGATATTGTCTTAAAAATGCGGATTTTTATGTTATGATCATTAAGTGTTCCCAATTAAAAATGATTACACATAAGAGAGATTGAATCATCGTTGCCCTTTTTAGGCAACTGTGGAAAGAAACACCATTCGTTTTATGGCTGCTGGAGGAAATGGGGTCAACCCAACATTTCTGTTGCTCAAGAGAGAAAGGGGTGAGAAGCTGGTGTGGAGGAATAGACTGGGTGCTGTAGACTGCACCAGACTGGGCTTGTTTGTTGCCTTGGAATGGCTGCGTCACCATTTGCTCCTCCTCATCACCCAGACAAGGCTGGCTTCAGTTCTGCCTGCAGCAACTATATGGACTCATTTGCCATGTCTCTGTCCCTTTGGATTGGTTGTGGAATGGTCCAAAGCCAGGGGCTTCTTTGAATCACAAAGAAATCCTTTCTCTTTTGACTCTCTGGTCTCAGAGTTTGATGGGTGGACTTCCTCTTCACTTTTTTTGTTTTTAGTCATGGTGTATTGCAGCTTCTGGTCTACATGAGGATTGTTGAGTTTGTATGCACTTTAATAAATAGTCTGTTAAAATGCTTCTGAATTGATAATTTCTTGGTTTCTTTGCTGAAACTCCTTCAGCAAAGGAGTCTCCTGGGTTGTAGGAAGTTTATTCATTGTCCTCCTCCTCCTGGTTGGCATAAATCCCTGCCTCCCAGCGCAAGGCCAGAGCACTCTTTCTTCGATTAACCCGTGTGGCCTCCAGGACCTGAAAAGAGAGGGGAAAAAATTAACAGAGTTTACAAAGACCAGCTTCTTCCTTTTCTTCCTCCATTGCATTTCCTCACTCAACGCCATGTTCACAAGATGAAGGTGATACAGGATCTGGTACTACTGGGGGTAGGTGATGAGCAGAGACTGGACAAATGGGGAAGGGAATGGAAAGGTTGGATATGACTTCATTTCAAAGCCCAAATCCACTTGTTATCTGAAGCATGGTTTCCATTACCCCCGATTTTTTTTTTCTTCATATTTACCAGTTTCTTTAAACCAGACTTGACTCTACCTCAGGTTTTTTGTTTGCTTGTTTTTTGTGCTTGTGTTTGTGGTGTTGGAGCCTGAACCTGGGCATTGAGCACACTGGGCAAACACTCTCTGGATGAGCTCTACCTGTTTTCCCAGAGCTGATTATTCTAAGGTAGCTCTCTACAAGCTGTCCAGTCCTGCTGCGCACAGACCTTTACACACACTGAAACTGTTCATATGTGCCATCCAAAGTGGCAGCTGCTATCCACATGTGGCCAGTAGGCCCCTGAAGTACAGTCAGGCAGCTGAGAAATGAAATATTTTAGTGAATTATAACTTGAATAGCCCCCTGGGACTAGCAGTCACCATTTTGAACAGCACAACTACAGATCCACTTAGCTGACTCATAACCAAGGATGGGGAAGGAATGTCTAACTTTGGGACAATGTGGATTTGATGCATCAAGTCTGCAGACCCACATGACACTGGGAAAAATATTTGTATCACAAGAATCTACTATGGAAGAATGAAACACAAATGGTCATGAAGTGAGGGAATGGGGAAGCTTTCAGGACAGTAAAAAGTCATCAGCATTCTGGTGTGTGTGTTATCAAGGTCATATGCACTACTAATAAAAGAAATTAAAGGTGACAACATCAAGGCCAAGTAGGCTCACCCCAACAGAGGTGGGACTTCACCCCCCCTACTCCCCGTTTATTGGAATAATTCGTGAGCTCCTGAGAGAAGACATCAGGCCACCTGTTCCAATGTTTAGTTTGGATAGGATGGAATACTCATGGAAGGCATGTACGTGTCCAAGACACAGGGAATGGTTCCAGGTCAGGCCACTACAATGAAAGCAAGCTCCCCACATGCCAGGCACTCTGGTGCTCACTTGGGCCGAAGTTTCTGACTTCAAAGAAAAGTCCTGGTTCGTTTTTCCAACTACAACAAACACTGTGCTTCTTCTAAAATTGATCATTCAGGCAAAGGGCAGCGATTGTTGGCAACTCCAGAGAGATAGGAAGATGCCACATGGAAGCAAATGCTAGGTAGACAAAAGGACTGAGGTCCATCCCAGCATGCTTCTTTGTATCTGCGTCAAGTGCAAGAACTACTCAGAGCTTCTGGATGCTTCCATCTGGGAGGTCTTTCCTACATCTCCCAACATGGGACAGCTGGACTTGACAGGTAGGCTGCAGTCAGTCACCTTTGCCGTGTGAATGATGCATGTTAAGAACCATAGCCATGTCATGACTAGCCCTGTGCATAAGCACACATTGGACGAAAGCAGGCTGCCAAACCTAGGAGCTAAACAGGAATTTTCTGGCCAATGTGTGATAGCAAGGGGATGATTGATAATACCAGATGGATTGTCATGTCTGAGCCCTATACTTCAGTTTTGTCTCTTGTTCATCTTGTATGTCAAGTTTCTTTCTCTGCTCAATGGAGAGTGCACTTGCTCTAACAGCCTAGGCTTTCTCAGGAGGCAGTGTGGCCTCTGAAATTCAATGAGATCTAGGTTTTAAATTGTAGTAACAGTGTGATCTTGCATTAAGTCACAAACTCCAATGCCTCAGTATCCCCATGTCAAAGGGGAACAACAAAAGCCACAGCATGGAGTCTGCCCAAGGGACAGTTTCAGGCGCACAGGGCAGTCCTCAAATAATTCTTCCCAGCATCTGAAAGGGTTATAGACCCTGGAGTAGAATATAAGCACAGATTTTACAAGGAACTCCATGTTACATAAATTACTCATATTTGCCTTCCAGACATAAACTGAGAAGTTCCCAGGAATATGAAAATAAAGCCAAGGTTCTGAATAAAGGGTTTCTTTACAAAATAAAAATAAAAAGGGGTTTTGTTTTGCTAGCTAAACCCTCACCTATGCCAAGATTTATTTATTTTTATGTGTGTGAGTGTTTTGCCTGCATGCATGTTTGTGCACCACTTGTGTGCCTAGTGCCTGAAGAGGCCAGAAGAGGACATTAGATGCCCCTGGAACTGGATTTACGGGCAATTGTGAGCTGCCATCTGGGTTCTGGGACTGAAGCCAGGTCCTCTGGAAGAGCAGCCAGTGCTCTTAACCATTGAGCCATCTCTCCAGTGTCCTTTCTTCATTTTCTTTTGAGACAAGTTCCTGTCCTATAGCCAAGCCTATCCAAGAACTCACAATCTACCTCAACCCCCAGAGTACTAAGATTAATGGCATGTGGGTATCACATGTGACTTTAAGTCTCCTTTTAATGTTTAATAAATCTCAGTCAAATTTCCTTGCTCTATTCTTCAGAAACCCATGTTACTATTCATCTATCCAATCATTTCACCAGTATTGACTGGGTTCCCAACACGTCACAGGAACACTGTTGCATGTGGGGATATGAGAGTTCCTTTCCTCGTAGAATTCAGTCACAAAAAGTACAGGAGACAGGACAATTATATCTGTAATTGTAGAAACATTTAGCATAGCTTGAGTTGGAACATCTCTTGATGAAGAACTCAGATAACTTGTGAACGTAATAATGAGCTCCTAATTCATTCCCTCTAATTTGGATGTCCTTTTTCATGTGATTCCCAATGTCTGATAAAATCTAAATCCCCCAGTTAAAGACACAGAAAAGAAAATAAGTGAGCCAGTATTGAAATGGCAGAGAATCTTAGAGTAAAGCTGCCTGTGGGCTCTTGAAGCTTAGAACTGAGGACTATCTTGGAGTAAAGTCCTGCATTAAGTCTTGGGAAGATTCAAAAGCCAAGGCTAAGGTGTGAATGAGCTCTTGTTCTATAGTTAATTCTATGGATGTGGGTCAGGGTACATGTCTAAATTGCTAGTGAACTCGGAACTCTTAGTACTTCTATGAGTGAACATTACTTTCTATAGCCTTTTTTGAGCCCACAGTGAATGCCTCTGAGGCTCTAGTCATAGCACACTTTCAATCACAAGTACTATGAACCAGTGCTATTTTCATGCCCAGGACTGTTCTGGAAGCTTCATGCCTTTACTGCTCACATTTGGTTCCTAGGAGGCTGACACATGGGGGCGGTTAAGTAACTTGCCCTGTCTTTCTCAGTCAGTAGAAGGCAAGGCCAAGATTTAAGCTCAGCTCTCCAGGTGTGGAGTCAATGCTTGAGGCCATCAAGCCACATGCTACTCAACAGCTGTGAGAGCCGCCAGGAGCTGCAAGCACCCTTTACAACCCCATTTAAGGTTTTCTTAATGTCCTCACAAATTAATTCAAATTTGGGTCTGGTTGAAGAAAAACTTCCAATTCTTGTCACACAAGCTCTAAAACTAATTATCTTCCTAATGCTTGGGCATGTCAAGGTGGTTGTTCAACTTTTAAGTGGCAGTCAAATGAGGGCTATGAAGCAAAGGACAAATGGGTTAAATTGTTGAGTAACTCCACTAATATTCAAGCTAACATGTGATCCTTCTACTTCTTTAGTTGAAGACTGGGCCCAATTCTACCTTCCTTGTCCAGAGTTTCTCTGTTCTAAACCATACTGACTCGGTGAGGATGTGGGAGTAGGGTCTGATTCTACATGGGCCACTTCCTAAATGAGGACCACAGACAGACCATGAAGAAGGTACATGCCATGATATTCTCAGCATTAGCTTTCAATCTTATACATCAGTAACCAATAGACTAAGTCTACAGCTATGAAATATGGTTACCTTGCTAATAACGAGCCATGATCAAAATACATACGGTGCTGGAGGTTGATACAACCAATGTGAAGAACACTTGCAAGAGCTGGTAAATAAAAGTATGCCCAGTTGAAGGTAGAGAAATTATTCCACACATGCACAGGAAGATGTGTGGTGGCGTTCACTGGTGCTTGTCTCCCATGCCAGAGGAGCTGGGTTCAGTCCCCAGCACGATACCACAAAGAAACAAACAAATCCCCCCTTCCCCCGCCAAAGTTCACCAGAAACAACTCAATCTACATTTCCATTGACATGAAAGTGATAGAGGATTTACTCATTCAACAGAACACTGCTCACTGCTCAGCAGTTCTAACAAATACTTTAGGACCTCAAGCTAAACAGGAACACATCTAAAAACAGTGCAATAGGAGCTGTAGAGATGGCTCGGTGGTTCAGAGAACTGGCTGCTTCTGTGGAGAACCTAGGTTTGAATCCCAGTACCCACAAGGCAGCTTACAACCATCTGTAACTCCAGTTCTAGGAGAGCCAGTGCCGCCTTCTGGCCTCCAAGGGCATTGCATGCTCATGGTGCACAGACATAAATGCAGCCCAAACATCACACACACAAAAGAAAAAACTAAGTTTAAAAGTAAATAAATAAAAATATAAGCAATTGAATAAAGAGGATACCATCATGTGACTTACCATGTATAGAAAGTTTAAAACATGCAAAAACAAAACAAAACAAAAAACCCCATGGTGTTCCTTCAGTGTATATATACAGGTGTGGTATAAAAACATGCATAAGAATGAACCCCATGACATTAATAGTGACCCCTCAGAGGAGACAAAGAGGGACAGAAACAGAAAAGTGGGAACTGGGAGAAGTAACAAGAGGGCTTGAACTGGATTTGCCACACTGAATTATTTGAAAAACACCTAGCCAATACTATGAAATTATAGAATGGGACAATGACAGAGGCGATGGCTCCAGGACCGCAGGAGTGTGCTGCCTGCTGCCTTCTTGGGCTCTACTATAGTGCCCCACTCACAGTCAACCCTCCATAAATTATGAATTGGTTGAATGAGTGGCTCCA